TTCAAATGGGTGCCATTTTTTTTTTTTAAAAAAGTTTTTTTTTTTGCTAGGTCACGTGACCTAGCAGGACCAAGTCTGGGTCCGCCACTGCATGACTGTGTACTTCTGCTTTGTACTCATGCATTAACAAAATATTAGCTATTGTACTTGCAATTAGAATCGTAGTTTGATTTCAAAATTATTAATTATTTAGAGGGAAATCATATATATGATGTCTATCCATTCTATCGGAGATCAATACGGCCCAAATATTTGCTATATTCTATTGTCTGCTATATTCAATTACCTTAAATTAAACATATTGTAGTGCTTCTTTTTTTTTCAAAATTTGTTGCAGGTTGTTTTGGCAGCCAATGAATTGCCTTCTTTTTTTTTTTTTTTTTTGGTAGAAAACTGTCTTCTATCAATATACATAATTCTTTGACATTTTATCACAGGTATTTTTCATCTCACAAGGCTTGCTGGTATTTCTATTTTCTTCATTAGTTGAAGGATGAAAATGGACAATTCATGGCAATGACAGTAGCAATCGGCAACAATTATCTTAATAATTGTGTTGTGGAATGGAGTCTCTTCTAAGATTTCCACTCCCATTGTACGTGTTTGAGGGAACACTTCTTGCAAAGAGGTTATCATTAATTCATAATGATTGCTATGAAGTTGTCATATCACTCATACGGTTTTATAATCTAGCTACTTTTTGAGAGTGAGGAATAGCTCAAGTGGTTAGAGCTTCCCTCCCAATTTTAGGAGATCCTAGGATTGATTATCAATTTCTCACCCCTACCCTTGTGGCTCTCTAAACACCCAAAAAAATAATTTGGTTATTTGCTCGACTTTTATTATGCATGCAAACTTGCTATTACACATTCATACATAGTCTATGTCCAAGGGAAAGGACCAACAATTTATTAGCACACGATCATTTATATTCGTATAGGTAAACACATAACCATCCGTCTTGGGTCAATTAAAGTTAATGTCCTTTATTTGACACAATAATAATGTACCATGCTTTTTCATGAATTAACCAGCAACTAAAATTTAATCATATAAATAGACTTTTTGTACACGAGGTTGTATGCATCAATCTATTTCCCATGATCAAATTAATTAGAAAACTCTATTAGATGGATGAATATGAAAGATTTACCCAGTTAATTAAAAATTAAATGGAAAATTAATGGAGTTATGGCTTAATTGCATACAACTTTCAACTTTACCAATAAATTTTAGCAATCACCTAATTATATTGTGTTATAAGCTTTACCAATCACACTAAATTTTCAGCTTACAAATACAAATAAAAAATGCCTATACAATAGAGAGATATTCTTTTACCAATAAATCATCTCAACATTGTCCTAAAAAAAAAAAGTGCAAACATAGGCCAAGAAAAATTAAGTCGCAATGGCTAACCACTCCGCGCGCAACGCGTGCGTTGGCTGCCATAATCTATTAAAAAGCGTTCCTAAAAACGTTTATGTGCCATGTAGACTCCTCATTGCACCACACCATATACTCAATTCTTCAATGCGCCATGTCACTACTCAATTCCTCAAAACGCCACGTCACCCATGCAACCAACAATAACACTATATGATGCCTCAATTGAATTTAAAAAATATGTGGATGGAGAGGTTCGAACACTCAACCTCTAAGAAGAAAAGTCATTGTTTAACGATCTAAGTAATTGTCAGTTATGTTATAATCTTGCACACAAATTTATGTTATACTACAAAAGTATAAAAAAACACATTCATACTAATAAATGTCATTTGAAAAAAGGAAAAATTGGTGAAAATAATCCCAACTTTGAGGCATTTACTTTTAATAATCCCAACTTTGGATTATTATTGAATAATCCCAACTTTAGGGGGTATTCGCTTTTATTGGACCCAACTGGTAAACCAACCTGTTATAACAGGTTATGGGACACGTGTCGCAACATAATTGGTAAAAAAAATATATAATAAATATTAAAAATTAAAAACCAAACACCCCCCACCGCCCACAATTCGCCTGCCCCCTTCCAACCGCCTACACTCCGGCAGCCCCCTCCCCATCGCCCACAATCCGACAGCCGCTTTCCCCTCGCCCCACCCGTCGGAAACCCCTCTCCCCGCCCCTTCCAACCACCGAAACAACCCCTCTTCCCCTGAACCGCCCCTGATTCCCACCCCCAAAAACCCTCCCAATAAACCATGCCCTCCCCTTTCCCCCACCCCAAAAACCACCCATTACCCTTTCCCCAACGCTAATAAACGTTGTTCGGGGCTACGGAAGGGAGAAAGGTGGTTTTCGGGTGAAGGGAAGGGGATAGGTGGTTTTTTGGGATAGTTTTCGTGGGTGTGTTTTGGGAATCGGGTCAATTTAGGGGAAGGGGGGCTGTTTCGGTGGTTGGGAGGGGTTTTTTTGGCAGGCTGGGTGTAGGGAGAGAGGTTGCTAGAGTGTGGGGGTTGGGGAGGGGGCTGCCGGAGCGGGGTTGGGGAGGGGTGGCGTGATGGTTTTTCTTTTTCAAAAAAATTTCTTTTTTTTCTTTTCTTTTTAGCCTTTTTTCAGCCAATCAAGTGGTGCCATATTTTTTTAAAACAAATAAATATATATATTACCTGCTTGACAGGTTACCGGTCACTTGGGACCAATAAAAGCGAATACCCCATAAAGTTGGGATTATTCAATAATAATACAAAGTTGGGATTATTAAAAGTAAATGCCTCAAAGTTGGGATTATTTTCACCAATTTTTCCTTGAAAAAATTAATTAATTGTTGTATAATTAAAAAAAGTAGTAACCCGGGCATCGCCCGGGCTATACATTAGTTATTTGAATAAAGAGTCGTTTGAACAATAGAAATTATCATTATTTACACAAACCATGGTCTATTCAACTTTTATTTATTTATTATTTTTTTATATCTAGTGCTTAGCCCGGGCAATGCCCCAAGTGTATACGTTAAATATTCTTTACTCCGTATTATAGTTTTCATGTATTACAATAATATTAAATATTTTTATTATAGATTCAGGATAAGAAAATAATTTGTAACAAAAAAAAAAAAAACTCGTGTCATACATTAACTATATTTAAGAAGAAGGAAAAATTGCTCCCATTAATCTGAACTTTGCCTCGTCCGCCGAAAATAATCCCAACTTTCGTTTATTATCTATTGCACCGAACTTTGGGGGGTATTAATTTTCGTTGCACCCAACTTACCTGCAACCGGTTAATCCGGTCAACATTTGTGTGTTACATTTTTTTTGGACACGTGTCACTACATGAATGGTCAAATAAAATTATTTTTTTTATAAAAAAACAAAATTTTAAAAAAAAACAAAATAAAAATAAAAAAAAAAAAACCCAGCCACCCCTTAACGGCAGCCACCGTTAATGGCAGTAGGGGAGGATATAGGAAGGGGTGAGGCCGGATTTGGGTCGGAAACGAAGGGGAAGGGGGCAGAAACGACGGGGAGGGGGAAACGGCGAAAACGAAGGGGAAGGGGATTCGGGTCGGAAAACGGCGGGGGAGAGGGGAGTGACGGAGGAAATAGGGGTGGGGGAGGGGTTTTCGGGGGTGGGGAAAGGGAAAGGGGGAGGGTTGTGCGGCGGTTTCCGGGAGTGAGGGAGGGGTTTTCGGGGGTGGGGGAATGGTTTTCGGGGGTGGGGGAAGGGAAAGGGTGGGTTTCGAGGTAGGGGGAAGGCTGGGCGGCGGTTTCCGACAGCAAGGGAGGGGTTTTTCGAGGGTGGGGGTGATTTTCCGGCGTGGTGGGGGTGGGGGTGTGGTGGCAGTCGCTGGGCGTGGGTGGTTTGTGGGTTTTTTTTTTTTTTTTTTAAAAAAAATTAAGCCAATCATACGTTGACACGTGTCTAGGTAACTTGATACATCAGGTTAGATGACCTGTTGGGTGCAACGAAAATTAATACCCCCAAAGTTCGGTACAATAGATAATAAACGAAAGTTGGGATTATTTTCGGCGGACGAGGGAAAGTTCAGATTAATGGGAGCAATTTTTCCTAAGAAGAATAAATAAACAAAATTATTAGATAGCAAAGATAGCGTGTATCCTTGTTTAGTAACGCCTTTTAATGTACAGTATAAATTAGTGTTAAAATCACAATTATGTCCAAAATTTTAATCAAATCTAATAACACAATTTAGCGAATCAAAGAAATAGATGGGGGTGTAAGTCAAAATTCTAAATGAAAATGTAAAATATTCAATCATGCAACCTAACTAGGCACAAAGACCACAAACCAATACTCACATTACATCAACGAGTCTCAAATTAAGTATTCATAAATATTTTCCTTTGAAAACGATTTTATTACATTGAAGTTTCCAATTCGTTAAAGAGCTAAATAGTTTCATTAGACTTTAGAGTGAGATTCTAATAAACTAATCAAGACGATTGAAAATCGATTAGATCCCACATTATTGATTATTACTTGACCCCCCAAAATCATTAATTTTGTGTTCACGAATGTTTTGAAGTTTCTTTAGGAACGTATGCCTAATTATTTCCATAATCAAGTTGTTGAATCATGCTTGCGACTAGCTAGTAATAACGCATCAAATAGACAAAAAATTCAACCGTTTTGCCTAAAATATCTATAAAAATTAGATAATTCTATTTGGATAATTGAGTTTCCTTTGGAGCTCACTTTAGACCGTTTCCTTGAATACAAAGCATATACTAATATACTACATAATTGCATTTAAATATCAACGTGTTTTGCACGAAGGACGTCTATAAAGAAAAGACAAATATATCAACTAATTTTCTTTTTGTATTCATATAATTAACATATTATTAACAAAATTATACAAATCCAACTAAATGCTCTTAAGAGATGAGTTAAGAAGGGCCCTTAAAAAACACTAAAAGTTAAACAAATTGTACATCACCTTGCATCAAATATTATTAAACTATATAATTATTTGACCTCTTTTTATTTCATATTATAAATTATACATTAAGATAAGAATTTCACATGTAATCTAAAGACTAGACCTCTAATTTTTTTATACATACAAAATTGAATTTCTTACTTCAAATTTCAAATACATCTTCCCTGAATTATTACTCCACCTATCCATTTGCCTTCCTCATTAGTTGACTTTCTAAATAATCTATTGCCTCCCCTAAATAACCCTTAATTAATACTTCATTTTTCTCCTCAACCTAATAACACCCCTTTTTTCCTTCCATGGCTACATGTTTAAAGTTGTACATAGTAGTCCTTCCCTTAATTTCTCCTACAAAAATCGACACAAAAAGCCTTTTTTGATCCATCACTACTACAAAAAAACCCGAAAGAGAACCTAAATGAACACGGCCGGTGCTAGTCCAAGCAACACAAGGGATGCAGCCTCAACTAACACAGATTTCCCTGGAAGAGAAGACACCGTAGGCGGGTTCACCTACGGCTTAGGGGTGTCAATAGGTATTCTTGTACTAATAACAACTATTACCCTGGCTTCTTACTTTTGCACCCGTGATGAAGGAACCACCACGGGTGCAAATCAATCAGAAGAAGAAGAACAACGACGACAACAACAAAGACGAAATGATCAATGTGTGATCGATGTAGAAGGGATCGACGAAAATACACTCAAGACATACCCAAAGTGCTTGTACTCACAACTAGAGAGTAACAAGAAAAATGGTTCAACAGTGAGTTGTTGTTCAATATGTTTAGCAGATTATAAAGGGAAAGATGTGTTGAGATTATTGCCAGAATGTGGGCATGTATTTCATCTAAAATGTGTTGATCCTTGGCTTAGAGTTCATCCTACTTGTCCTGTTTGTAGGACTTCTCCTTTGCCTACCCCTCAGTCAACGCCTCTTGCCGAGGTTGCTCCTCTTGCTGCGTCGAGAATCGGATAAATTTTTACTTTTTTCTGCGCGAATGAGCCACAAAGACAATACAGAGTACAAATTATAGATGGAGGTCGAGGAATTGAACCCGCGACCTAAGTAGGCCAAGACCTCGACGGTAAATTAAATTTAGATTTTTTTTTTTTCTAAAATCTGTCTTTAATTTTTTGTTGTTGTTTATATATATACTCCATAATTTATAAGCCATGATTTTCTGGATTCTGACAAATTACAGAGCAAAGAAATTAGAAAAGTTAATGTAGGATGGTTTAATCTGCAATTTGAGCATAGTTGACTTTTCTTTTTCTTTTATTTTTTATTTTTTATTTTTTTTTATGTGCTTGATTTCTGGACAGAGTATACTTGTATAGAATTTTTTTTTTATGTAACTAAAACGATTTTTTAGCTCTAAATGTCTAAATTTTATTGTTTACTTGTTATATTAATCTAAGGATGACTAATTTCTAATGGAGACTCACAAGAAGTAAAGCGGGAATACAGGCAACAACTTCAATGGCAAGCTAATTGTCAAATTAATTAAATTAGTTTTCATACCATATAGGATTTTAAACTAATCCCGTTTTGTAGCAATTTTGTGCCCCAATGATAAATGATTAGCTACTAATATGTTAATACTTAAATGCTTAATTAGTTTCTCAAAATAAGTTTATTACCAATATATTTCAAGCTCTTGTTCTTTCGAAAAAAAAATTATAAACAAATTAGCTTGTCATTAGACCAAGCTAATTGTAATTTTTAGCTCCTTGGTCAAACTAGTAGTTAGAGCAACTCCAACGGCAGTCTAACTTGACAATTAGCTTGACATGCACATAAGCTTTTAAGCTAATTGTTATTGTAGCTACTTTGAACTCCAATGGCTAGATATTATCTTACAATCTAAATGAATTTCACATCCTTTAGAGCAACTCCAATGGTTGTAGCTAAGGACTTGCTTGTAATTTCAATAATTCCCTACCTACTAGCTTAACCTTTGGAGCTAGAAAACTCAATTAGCTTGGCTAAGAGCAAATTAGCTTTGTCAAACTAATTTGCTTGGGAATTAAACTTGCTAAAATAAAATGCCAGTTGCATTAATTTAGCTCTTTCCATTTTTTTTCAATCCAACAACTATTACTAAGCTAATAGCTAGCAATTGGAGCAAAAATTAGCTAAAATGATAATTAGCTTAAAAGCTTATGTGGCATGGCAAGTTAATTGTCAAGTTAGCTTCCCATTGGAGTTACTCTGAGTTAAGCCTCTTACAAGGGACTGAACTTTCAAGAAATTTAAAAGGAGGGGACTGTAGTTACGAAATGTAAATGTAGGGGACTGAAACCGGTTGTTCAAGTAAACACCGGTGTGGTAACCTGTTGTAGGGAGTTTGCACTTATTTAAAATAATAATAAAAAAAAGCCTCTGATAATTGCAGACCTCGAGCTGTGTGATTAATTACAGCCGTAGGAGGAACGCGGGAAACGAAGGGGGTCTTAAAGCTTCTATTGGAAGCTATCTCCTTTTCCTATAAAAGTAGTACTTTCATCTTCTTTAATGCCCACACCACCATTTTCAGAAAGCTCCAACTATAAAAAAAAAAATCCTTTATTCTCTGTTCAGCTCGTGTATTGGCCTACTAGTCCCAGCTTTGAGAAAACTGTTGGGAAAAAAGTCGCACGTTTGAGTTCTATTGACACTAGTAGCCCACAATTACACCTCCTTGGATTTGCACTACTACTTGACATTATTCTGGAATCAATTAGGAAAGATAAATCACATAATTAATCTTCTTATAAATCACTACATGTATGGAAAAAATAATTTACTTACTGCAACTCAACCTTTTCTACAGGATCAAATTCAGAGGCACACAAAAGCTCCCTTGGTTGTTTGACAAACCTAGATTTTAGATGCTTGTTTGAAGGAAAAAAAAAAACAAATTTTTTGAAAACTCAGTGCTTATTGTTCTTCAAATTAAGTTTTTGTCCTAGAAAATCCTCTGTGTTAAATACTTGTATAACGGCTACTTTTGTTTGCAAAACTTTTTCTGTTTCCAATGCACTTAAAAGCTTGTCAGTGATTTAAAAAAAAAAATAATCTTAAAATACATGGAAACCGGTTGTAGAAGGTTACCTTGGCCGGAGTTATAGGCATAGTCCCTTGCTTTTAACTTCCAAAACTGCAGTCCCCTCCTTTTAAATTTCTTGAAAGTTCAGTCCCTTGTAAGAGGCTTAACTCGAGTTACTCTTATTAACTTTTTATATTTCATTTTATTAATTCTATTTTACATTTTTTTTGATAAGTTTTTCTCCAAGCAAATTGAATTTTCTAGCTCCAATGGTCAAGCTAATAGCTCGGGATTATTTAATATTCCAAGCAACTCCCTAGCTATAACCATTGGAGTTGCTCTTAGAGACTTGTTAAAATTACAATCAAATCCCTTACTACAATACTGTACTCCCTTTGTCTATTATGTTTGCTTCCTTGAGTAAATTTATTTATTTATTTATTTTTAAAAAGCAAAAATATTTCATTAATTAAAAGTCATGCGACATCTACATAGAGATTCGACGTTAAAGTGGTGAATAAAAAAAAGTATAATTGTGAGTTAGGGCATGTTCACATTTACTTAATTTCAGTTGAGTTCATTTCAGTTCAGCTCCAATCAGTTCAGTTCAATTCACTTAAGTTCAGTTCAGCTCCAATCAGTTTAGTTCAGTTCAGTTCAATTCCGCTCGTAATTTCCCTCTCTCATAAAATATTCATTTCAGCTCAATTCAGTTCAGCTCCAATCAGTTCAGTTCAGCTCAGTTCAGTAAATGTGAACATGCGCTTAGTTTATACCACCAAAAATAGTGCTCTTTCTGTTTTTAAAATACTTGCTTCATTTTTCTTTTTCAGCAGTTTTTAAATACTTACTCCATTTCCTTATTTGGGCCTTGTTTGACAAATGGCTGTTGGCTGGTTCACTTGGCTTGTTTGACTAGCTGGAATGTTTGGCTGTTTATAATGACTTTTGAAATTGGCTATTTAAGCTAGCTGTTTATAAAAGTTTTTGGTAAATTAATTGTTGGTTGTTGGCTGTTTATTAGATAGTTTGTGGGCCAACAAGCCAAAAGCCAACAAAAAAGCTACTCAAAGCAGCTTTTTCATTTTGGCTTAAAAGCCAGCTTTTTCGCTGACTAAAAAGCCAATTACCAAACACATTTTTTGGCTGTTTGACCACCTTAAAAAGCCAAAAGCTAACCAAAAAGCCAATTACCAAACATGGCCTTGGTATGCTTTAACAATATTTAATTCATTTCTCTCACCTAATGGATCCAACATAAATTATATTTTATTAATTTTATATTCTCTCTCCTCCAATTCTCTCCACTACTTTTACTTTTTACAACTTTTTATTGTTCCACTTACCCCACTACCTCCATATTTTATTACTTTCTTCAATTTCTCCAAAAACTCCACGTATGGAGAAATGAAACAAGTATTTAAAAACGGAGGGAGTACTTTGCATGAAGTATTTGACGTACCAAAAAAAAAATTGAAGCAAAATAAAGTATACTGCATTTATAGTCTATTTGAATAGGTTAGGTAACCAAATTTGTTTATAGATCCTAATACTACGTATAATCTAATTTTAAAGTTTTTTTAAGTAAAAGTTTAGAAATTATGATTAATCTGTAGGGCTGTGGCCCTAACCATTTAAATTGGCATGCAGTTCAATATAACTTATCTTTATCTTAAATTAGTTGTAGGTTCGTGGCCCTAACCATTAGAAAAATTCAATAAGTTCAATAAATATATCCTAACACCGTGTTGCCAGTCATTGTAGGGGTTGCTTCGCAAGTGTAATAGGGGTTACTTGGTCAGCGTTAAAAGGATTAATTCATTATTGTTAGGAAAATTTGTAAATTACCACCCATAAAGGGGTCCTATTTTGAAATTACCACCCATTAAAACTTTTATTTTAAATAACCACCTATAAAATTAAAAAACATTTCAGATTACCACTTTTTTTGAAATTCCGGTGGAAAATCCGGTTGAGGGCCCCACCTTATTAAATTTTTTTTCATTTCCCTCGACCTAACCTTCTGATTGAAACATTAAACTCAAAAAAACATCGTCTCTCATCAATTTCTTTAATTAATTCATCAAAAAGCATCAATCTTTCCCCTTTTTCTTCCTTTAATTCACTGTCAACTTTGCAACTACTTCTTAAGGGTTGAGTCAGAACCCTAACATTTTTTTTCTGCAAATTGGGACCCTATTTGTACTTGCATTTGCTGTTGAAGTCGCCATCTTGGGGTGTTTTCTAGGGACCAAAAGTGCGTAGGTGAAGCTCCTGTCAAATGGTGATGTCAATGGCGACGCCTGAGGTAAGCAATTCGGACCTTTTACAATTTCAGATCACATGTAGCCTAATTGCAAAAAACCCCAATTTTAAAGCCCCAGGAACCCTAATTCCAAAATTGCATAAAACCCCCAATATTGCCCCAGGAACCCTAATTCCAAAATTTCAGACATGTACCAGCTGCAATTTGAGGAAATTTGGATGAAATTTGGGGCAAAAGTTGTGAATTGATGTCGGGTAATTTATAAAGAAAAAAAACGAGGAGGGAAACATTCAAAAGAGTCAAATTCGCCGTTTTTAGCCGTTATGTGGGGCCCTCAACGGATTTACCACCGGAATTACAGAAAAGGTGGTACTCTGAAAACTTTTTTAATTTAATGGGTGGTTATTTAAAATAAAAGTTTTAATGGGTGGTAATTTCAAAACATGACCTCTTTTTGGGTGGTAATTTACAAATTTTCCTTATTGTTATAGAGTTACCCGGTCAGTGTTATAGGGGTTACTCGATCGGTATTAAAGGAGTTATTTAATCAATGTTATAAGGGTTACTTTAAGTGGCCACACGGTGTGGCCGACCGCACACAAGCGAGTTGAACTAACTAAAAATTGGAATAACTATCTAGTATCTATTAATTTTTTTTTTTTGGGGTTTAGAGAGCCATAAGGTCGAGGGTTAGAATCAATATTAGGATCTCCTGGAATCGGGAGAGAAGCTCTAAGTCTCTAACCACTTAAGCTATCTCTCACTGTCAAATTTAAATAATAAAAAGTATAAATTTTTTAAGGCAATATAAATGGTTTGATATGGACAATCACGTACAATATTATGCTCCATTATCATTATAAATATATTATTAGATTAATATCATACTTCACTAAATTGATTACAATGGTATCAAATATGACATGGATGTAAAGAGACATCACAAATTCACAACCTTATGTGGATGTTCATATTTACAT